ATTCCCAAAAAATTTCAATCCCCTATTCACAACGAAAACACTGCTCGCATCTCAGACTTGTTAACCAAAACTCCCTCGAGACACCGCTCTCCGCGTGCATCTCAGTCCGGATAGGACTCACCCCCGAAATCTTCAAATAACCGCAATCGGAAAAAAGACAGACCGAGCATCCCCCGGTTGCCGCCCTCTCGCGCCCCTTAAATCATCACCACCGGTGGCAAATAGTTCCCGGCGAGTTTTCGAGCTCGCCGATAATACTTTTCGGATCTCCCTCGGCCTCTCGCTCTCCGGCAGCGTTTCCTCGCGGAAAGTAATTATTCTTTCGGCCGAGGGTGGCGGAGAGACAGCGGTTTCAATGGAAAAGATATTTTCCGCGCCGCCGGTGTGAAATTCAGAGTGCATCCTTATCGGGATACCCGTTCTCCGGTGAAAAGATTCAGGCTTTGCGGCTCGCTCGCACGATATTCTCTGCATTTCTCGACTCGACCCGAATCAACGTTGGAAGAACGAGAGAGGAAAAGGGAGAGAGAGTGAGGGGGGGAGGGGTGTTGCTCGACGATTCAACTGCTGAGTTCCGACGCGTCGCGTTCAGTCGAGGGGCCACCGAAAACGCATCCGAATATCGATCACCCGCTGTCGTTCGATTGCTCGTTTATCAGTCGCTTAGTCGGCCAGGCATCGGGCGTAATCGGATTTCCGAAAAGTTCCGCGGGAAAAAGTCTGTCTACGCGCGAAAGGAATCCGTGAAGGATGGCTCGCGCTGGACGCTCCGCTTTTTAACCCTTCGCGGAGTATTCGGAGCCTTCGGCAGAGGAGGGTGAATAATACGTTGAACTTTTAAATATTGGGAAACGGGAACTACGTTGGAGATTTGGTTGTTTGAATCATCGAATAATTCATTATTTTATATTCTGGATGTGAAGCTTTGTTCTCGAAGGGTTGAGCTTTTTAACCCTTCGCGGAGTATTCGGAGCCTTCGGCAGAGGAGGGTGAATAATACGTTGAACTTTTAAATATTGGGAAACGGGAACTACGTTGGAGATTTGGTTGTTTGAATGATGGAATAATTCATTATTTTATATTCTGGATGTGAAGCTTTGTTCTCGAAGGGTTGAGGATTCTCTTCGTTCGACGTTAGATTCGACCGATCTAATTAATGCGATTCGTTTAACGTGTAGTTTTTTTGAGAATTTTGGTCAATTTCAGATTGTCTTTCGTTTGTTCTGTATCGATGTGTACTGTTACAAGCTTCTGTGTTACTGGGAATTCAGTGATAATCATCTGCTCCCGATAATCGAGTGGAAATGCCAGTATTTAACTTGAATTTCGCGAGTCGCGTGTACCAGGATTTGTCTGTTAACACTAGATTTACGAACCCATCAATTCGACGGATATTATATTTCCTGAATATTATCCGGCAAACGTCGATATTGGTTGCGATGATCGAACGCGGATAAATATTCCGGTTCCCCGTATTCTTTCAAAATATAGATTAAATATTACTCAAAGACTTGAAAATGAAATGATTATTATTCAAAAACTTATCGACTAATTTCGTCTTTGAATAATCAAAGAGATAGCATCAAAATTTATTCTCTTCCAAATACAATTATCAACGATAAAGCAGCTGTATCACAATTAAGAAGTAGATCACAAGGGGTGGAAAAGTTCAAAGTTCAATCGACGTAGTACAATTTCTCCAAGAATCTTTAAAAAACACTCGTATCTCTCCAAAAATCGAGAGGAAAGAGATTCAGGACGTCTTGCTAACAAATTTGATACCGAAATATCGAACACTCGTCTAGAAATTTGAAGGGTTAAGACTAAAGAGTGTAAATGTACATAAACTAAACGAGACAACGATGTAATACATCCACTCGATGACGTCCAACCACCGACGACCAGAAAAACCAACGGAAAATCTACATCCCATCGAACATCGGCGTGGAATCGAGCAATCGTCGGTTCGATGATAAATAACATTTGCCCGCGTTCCTCCCGTTCTTCCCATTGTCGTTTGTTCGGCCGGCCATTACAGCTCGCCGCTTTATCGTCGAAAAACGGCCGCCGACGCGCGCGGCCGCGTGAAACGCGCCGTTTCCGTATCCGTCCCGGGGACAGGCGGCCGAGAAAAAACGAATGGCAGACCCGACGCTTTCACGGGACGGAGCGGTTATGGTGAATTGAACGCATGGGTCGCGACATCGAGTAATCAGTAATCGTTCCTTCTGATCTTGATTCTGAGCGAACCTAGAATTTCGAACGTCTTCTATAAGTAATTGTATCGTAACAAACGTGAATGGTATTCGAATTAATTAACAACGTTTTGGTATGATTGCTCTTAAGTTTCTATTAATTATTATTTACCTATGTAACATTTCGATACACCATGAGTTCTCTTGTATAACTCTGTTCAAGTAATTTAAACGCTCTGCTTATCGGTGATCGTTTCAATGAATTAACGCTAAAACCGAGCAATTAACTTATCCTCAATTCTCTCTAAAAACTAGAACAACACGTTTCTGGAGATTCAAAGGATCTCCTAGCTCTCTATCCGTACAGATACTTCATTGAAATCACTCGCAAGAACGCTTTCACGATTGGAACACTTCCACAATGAAACTTCTAAAACTTCTAAGTTTAATTCGTCCGGCAGTTTTAGTGTTTTTAGTTTAGTATTTCTCAGTACTTAGTTTAGTATCTTAGTCCAGTATTACTCAGTATTCTTCAGTACTTAGTTTAGTACCTGCGTCTAGTATTATCCAGTATTCTTCAGTACTTAGTTTAGTACCTGCGTCTAGTATTATCCAGTATTTTTCAGTACTCAGTTTAGTAGCTTAGTCTAGTATTATTCAGTATTCTTCAGTACTTAGTTCAGTATCTTCGTCCAGTATTATTCAGTATTTTTCAGTACTTAGTTCAGTATCTTAGTCTACTATTATTCAGTATTTTTCAGTACTTAGTTTAGTACCTGCGTCTAGTATTATTCAGTATTTTTCAGTACTTAGTTTAGTACCTGCGTCTAATATTTTTCAGTATATTTCAGTACTTAGTTTAGTATCTTAGTCTAGTATTATTCAGTATTCTTCAGTACTTAGTTTAGTATCTCAGTCTACTATTATTCAGTATTCTTCAGTTTCCTACTCACTAATCTAGAACAACAGATCCATCTACTACCCAAGCATCTCAGATCCCATCATCAACACGTCTTCAACCTCCAACTGCAACGTCCAAGCACCTGGGCAAGCTTTCGTATTACACACGGTTTACACCGGAGAGGACCGGTCCGCCATGAAGAAAAAATGAGGAATCGTCCGTGCAGCTCGATGATCGCTCGGTTTCCAATCACCGGCGCATCGATAATGCAGCGCGGACCAGCGTTCGGTCCTCGACCTTCGAAAACGTATAGATCCGCGTTTACACACGGCGAAGTGTCGTGTCTCCCGCGCTTATACATATTAATGGGGCCTCTGCATAGTCATCGGACATCGCGCTGCTACTACCAGCCGCCCCCCTCGCCGCCGCCGCCCCCGGCGACCAGCGACTCGCAAAAGCTCGCGCCTTTATTACGCGAATCGATCCCGTTCGCTGCGGGAGGAACAGACCGAAAAGGCTCCGACCTGCACACACACACACACACACACATACTACGACGTCCCCTCTGTTCCGCCCTTCGGCGCAGTGGTTCTTAACCTTTTCGAAGACTCCTGGTTGCAGGGGTAGTTCGAGGGTGTCACCGATGAGACACGGTTAAGCCATTGCAAAAATTTTCTACTGATGAAGTATAATGAATATTTCTTGAGACTAATTAGAGGAACTTGAGACTATACATTAGAGGAAGAAGTTGTTTCATTTGAATACTTCATATATTAATAAACGTAAAATATTCTTCTTAGAATAATTCATATATTAATAAACCTTCTCGGAGACCCCTGGTTGCAGGGGTAGTTCGAGGGACGCTGGTGTCACCGATACAACAAAGTTAACCCATTGCAAAAATTTTCTACCAGAAATATTCTACTACTTTCTGATGAAGTATGATGAACATTTCTTGAGACTAACTAACTAACTGTATATTTAACGTTACATATTATACTTGACAGTTTTGATAAGGGATTACGTTTGTACGTGATTGTGATAAGACGTTTAGATGTCCACTGCGACAAGGCGTTTCAAATTTCTATGCTTCGAATCC